ACACCCCGGACTCGTATTCGGGTCAGGTACGGGTTGGGTGTTACAGAAATGTTGGATGTTTTTATGTTTAAATGTTGTTTTTCTCATTGTTTATATTTTAATTGCTTAGACTTGTGAGATCTTTTTAGAGTTAGCCTTTTTCTAAGTATAGATGTTTAATATCGAGAAATAATATTGCTTATTTTCATCAAGCTGATGACGAGTCAATGTTTGAGTGTTGGAACCGATACAAGGTACTCCTACGTACATACACGAACCATGGATTCCACGACTAGATGCAAGTTGTCATGTTTTACCATGGTGTAAATGTTCAAACTAGAGAGATGTTGAATGCTTCAGCAAATGGTAATTTACTAGACAAGTCACCCGAAGAAGCATTTGATACCCTTGATAGGATAACAAACAACGATTATCAATTCGCTTCTTCGAGACAAGGAATGAGGAAGAAAACTCAAGGTACATTCGAATTGGATGCTAAAGACTTGATTTTAGCCCAACTTTCGGCTATCACAAACATGTTAAAAAATCTCCAATGCCCTAGCAAAAAGAATGAAGTCAATGTTGCAAGCTCTTCTTATGTACGTTACTATGACAATCACCATATGAGTTAGCGCCTTGAAAACCATGAATCTAGCAACTACGTGGGGAACTACAACCGGAGTAACAATAACCCCTACTCGAACACATATGACTCAAGTTGACATCAACATCCAAATTTTCCTTTGGGGAATTAAGGCATATACAATGTAAACAACTTGGATCGACAATATAACATGACTGAACCCCCAGGTTTTCAACAAAATATGTTGTGGCAAAATACCAACAAGGGGTTAGCATCTTCATCGAACATCAACTATTTGGAAGCTACTCTCCAACACTTTATAGTGACTACGAAGGCTCTATTGTAAAACAACGTTGCACCTATTAAAAGTTGATGAGTTTTATTACAAAGTCAATGAACATTGCTAAAAAGTCATAGCTCGTCTCTAAGAGCCTTGGAAACTCAAGTGGGTCAAATTGCTACAACATTACATGCACGCCCATAAGACAATATACCTAGTGATATTTATGTCACTAAGGCTCATGGTAAAGAGCAATTTAGTGCATTCACCTTAAAGAGTGGCACCTATATCTATGAAGATGCTAAGTTTTGGGGAAGATACTCAGAAAACCCAACCATGAGATTGTGCACGAAGATCTAGAGATACAAGAAGACTTTTATTCGTGGAGAAAAAAGATGAGGTTTCAAAGAGTACAACCAATGATGACAGGCATCATAATGCCACATCAAAAGATAAACATTCACTAGTTAGGAGTGGATGACAAAAGGGTAACTATCAATGTCTTCAACACTTTAAAAAATACTGATGATTCTAGGGAGTCTCAATCTCTTCAAGATGTGGAATCTATGATGGAAGAGGAACTGTCATAACTTTGTTGCAACAATTTTTTGCACAATGATGATTACTTGAAGCATGATGAAGAAGACGAAGAGTAGCTTGAGAAAATTCTAACAGAGGTGCAACAATCAAGCTTATTCATAGCTAGACCATGTATGGAATTAGAACCCTTGGATTTCACTAAATTTATTTCTCCCAAATCCACACTTGTGCACCCGACCACTTTAGAATTAAAACCCTTACCTTCACACATTAAGCATGTTCATTTGAGTTGCAATGAGACTTTACCTATGATTAATGTTGGTAATATTAATCTTGAGCAAGAGAGTAGTTTGATTTATGTTTTAACTCAACTTAAAAAGTCTTTAGGTTTGACCATTATTGATTTGAAGGGCACTAAAAACCAAGTCGATGCCCATCTTTCTAGGTTAGAAATTATGAAAGAACTAAGGAATGCAATAAAGATTAAGGAAGAATTCCTTAATGAGAAATTATTATTTGATGCGGTAATTTTGTGGTATGTTGACATTGTTAATTTTCTCGTTAGTGATATTTTGCTTCCTTGTTTGAATAGCCAAGAAAAAAAAGTTTATGCATCATATTCATTACTTTCATTGGGATGACCCCTACCTCTTCAAATAATATACTAACCAAATGATTGAAAGATGCATCCATGAAGAAGAGCAAAAATTGATCTTATTCCAATGTCATTCAACTTCATATGGAGGGCACTTTGGAGGAGAAATGGCTGCTGCAAAATTTCTATAATTTGGGTTCTATTGGCTTAAATTGAAGATGACAATGTTATATGTGTGGGGCATTTTGGTCTATATTGGTGCTTCAATCGAACGTGACAAAATGACCATATCAATCCAGGATGTTTTGGAGTTTGTATCATTTTAACCCTCTTTAATTTCTGCTATAAAAACTTTCATTTTATTTTGTTTTGTGTGTTTGTTTGTTTGTTTGTTTTTCTTTACTTTATTTTTGTATTGTTTAATTTTAATATTAGTTTTTTTAGTAGAACGGAGTCTCAAGAATGTTTGCCAAGGACAAATCCCTCGTGGATGTTGCACCCACTTAGGAAGAAGACTTATTTGTTGTTGGCACAAATGATGAAGATTTCTAATGATGTTCCCCCTGCTGCACAAATACCACATCAAATTGTAACACCTCTAACTAAGCGTCGCTTTAAGAATACATCCGATCACGTTTGGACTTCTCCACCTAAGGAATTTGAGCAAAATAACCTCACCATCATCAAAGTAGATGTTAGTCAAGGTACCTTGCATTGTATTTCATCTATCTTAGTTTTAATTTAGTTTTCATGCATTGAGGATAATGTATTCTTCAAGTTTGAGGGCGGTAGTGTTCATAGTTAGACATTTGCGTTGATAGTTGTTAACAAAATTTTTGTTATGGTATCAGTTAGGATTTAAGATAGTTTTTGGAATAACTTGATGATGCCCAATGATGATGAGAATTTTTTGAGTATGTGATTGATTGAATGTATATGACAATTGAGATTGATAGAACCAACTTTTGGACTTGATTCTTTGCGATTTATTCATTCACGATTGTATGCTCTCTATGCTTAAGGAAATTAGAAACATTAATGAAATGACCTTTGCATGCCTTATAATAAATTGATGTAATGAACTTAAATGATAAATGATAGCTTGAAAAGCTCAAAGTAAACTCTTTTGTGCTAATTGAATGTGTGGAATTGCAAATAAATGCTTTGGCATAACTATAGAGAGATACTCCTCTTTATTATAGCATTTCCTGGATACCTCTTTAATAAATGGAAGCTACAACATATGAGTGAATGAAAGTAGTCACGAGATGACTCTACCTACTAGCTCAGGGATGGAATGTTTGTTCCAGTTCATCTAGAGTGTGAGACGGTAATTGTGATAGGTTGACTCCCCTGGTAGTAGTATAAAAAAATTGGAATATTAAGGAAATGAGAGTAATTGCGTGCTTAATGGTTGAATAAATGCTATAACAAAAAAGAGAGTTTGCCTATAATTTTTCAAACTTTGTTAAGCATAGACTAGATATAATCACACACAAACATGCAAAATATCTTGTCATAAGGAAAAGTTCTTGAATTCTTAATTCGTCTAACATATTGAAGCCAATTGTTTCTAATTAAAATTATGTGCCATATAATTGTCTTGATTTTAACTTTGCTATAACATTCTTTTCTATTGATCTCTATCCATTGCTTGAGGACAACCAATAACTTAAGTTTGGGGTGTGATAACCCCGTAAAAATGCTATATTTTGTGCCTTTTTACTTAGGTTATTGGTTGTTTAAAAGCCCATGTCATAGTATTTAGTTGCATTTAAGGTAATATAGTTGCATGTGGTGGTAATGTTTTGCTACAACATTTTATTTTGTAAACTGGTGTTGTTTGATGGGAAATGTTGCTCTCTTTTATTGACGTGTAGATAAAGAAAGCTAAAGGAGAAATAAAGATTTACTATAACATTCTGGATAAGAATATCTGAAGGATTGACAAGTCGGTCGAGAGAAAATATTACTACGACAATTCTAGACAGAAATTATGAGCTTAGAAAAAAATATGAAGATATTTTGATGATTGTTGCCAAGTCGTCCAACCCATACGTGAAGCTCACCTACCAACTTGTCCAACTTACATATGTGAAGGGAATAATCCATTTTTAAGAGATAAAGATAAGGATATCACATTATTAAGGAGGAGTTAGAGAGTTTATGAGAATGAAAGAATTTTAGAGTTAGGGAATTTATGAGAATTTAAGAGCTTTTTGGGAGTTAGTGAGTTAATGGGTAATTTACTCTTAATTATATCCCATTATTCTTGCGAATTATAGAGTTCTTGTTTATTTTAGAATAAATAAGATAAGAGAGAAAAAGAAAATGAGAGAAATACAACAAGAGGCACAAAGTCTTCATCATTTTTCTTTTCTTTATTTTCTTCCTCCTTTCATGGTAACCTCCATAGCCAGCTTCAAGGGGGTAGAAAGCTAGGCCTTTGAGAGAAGCTAGCTTGATAAGATAATTCATTTATATCCAAGGGTCTAAATTTAATATGTAAACCCCTATTTAATCTAATGGTTTATATCCACCCAAACAAAATATCTTACAACTTTTAGGGATAATAATTCATTAAAGAGTCAAACTCTTCCCTTATTTTCACCTTAGAGATGCACAATTCCTTTATTTCAATTTAGTCACTAATCTCCCCCAAAATAAATTCTAAAAGATAAAATTTTCATCTCATACTTCAAATTTAATCCCATAACACAAAAAATTTACCTAACTTGTCCTCAAAATAATTTTATTTACTAATTTAATCCTCAATGAAATTTCAGGGTGTTACATTGGTGACCATTTTATAACTTTTAATAGTAGGAGGACTCAATAAAATAACATCATATAATTAATGATTCATTTTATATGTTTTAATTGTCAAAAGACTCAACAAAATATTGTACCATTTGTAAAATTTACCCTTAAATCATTTAAATAGTAATTAATTAAACTTAGCAGACCTTCTAGAAGGCTCCAAAAAGAGAAAAGATATCACCCTAATGACCCTCCTTTCAACAAATTTCATTTTCCCTCTCCAGCTCTTCCGTTCCGTCCAAAAACACATTTCTAAGCCTGAAAAATCATGTCGTCCGACGGGAACGTCACCGGTGGGTGTGGTGGCGGTAACTTCGTCGGCGTAACCAATAAGCTTTTCTTTTGCTACCAATGCAACCGTACCGTGACAGTGACAATATCCCCGTCCTCTTCCGATCCTTCTTGTCCCATATGCAACGATGGTTTCCTCGAAGAATACGAAAACCCAGACCCTAATCAAAATTCCGGCTTCCCCGACCAGAATCCGAACTCAGTCCCGTTCTCTGACCAGTTCTTATCGTTAACGGATCCGTTCTCTTCCTTGCTTCCGCTCCTTTTTCCTGCCGTTTCTTCTTCTTCTTCTTCTTCAGCATCATCATCATCATCGACAACAACTTCATCGTCCTCTGCTTCTGTTGACCCCAATAACCCTAATTTAACTGGACCGACCCGGTCAGGTAGAGGCGACCCGTTAGCTTTCGATCCGTTTACCTTCATCCAAAATCATTTAAATGATCTGCGTTCGAGCGGCGCGCGCATCGAGTTTGTGATCCAGAACAATCAGTCCGAGGCCGGATTTCGGCTTCCGGCTAACATAGGGGATTATTTCATCGGACCGGGCCTTGATCAATTGATCCAGCAGCTGGCCGAAAATGATCCGAATCGGTATGGTACCCCACCGGCATCTAAATCAGCTATTGAAGCGCTACCTTCGGTGAATATAACGAAGAATAATTCAAATTCGGAGCTTAATCAGTGTGCGGTTTGCATGGACGAATTCGAGGAAGGGACAGAAGCGAAGCAGATGCCCTGTAAGCATCTTTATCATAAGGATTGCATATTGCCGTGGCTGGAATTGCATAATTCGTGCCCCGTGTGTCGTCACGAGTTGCCTACTGATGATCCTGATTATGGGGGGAGGGCTCAAGGGGTGCAGGGGACCGGTGGAGGTAATGGCGGTGGTGATAGTGGGCAGAGGTTCGATGGCGATAATCAGCCTGTTGAGAGGAGCGTTAGGATATCGCTGCCTTGGCCATTTCAAGCTGGGGGACCTGGACCTGGTCCAGGATCTGGTGATAATACGGAGACCAGGCAAGAAGATTTGGATTGAGAATTGTGAGTATCTGTTTGCCTTTTTTAACAATTGTATGCATTATTATATCAAATTTATGGTGCTGTCTTGATAACATGGGGTTGCTAAAACTTGGGCATTTAGTTCAATATATTGTGCATCACATGTAATGTTCAACGACAATGCAATAAGTTCCACAGCTGATACAGTGAAGCTGGTCGTCTGAGTTTTGGGTAATTTTTATTACATGCCTTTTTATCCATTGTTGGGTATTACCAAGTCGCACGGAAATGTGGAGAAGAAGATGGAATACCTGCTAGGCATTAGACCATATTGAAATGCCATACATGTTATGAAGCTCTTTTAGAGCCTTAGGGCCTCGCAGCATTTGGTCAACAAATGATGCAGGTAATTCATGGGAATTTAATAGGAAAGAAATAATTAAAGCAATAAAATATATGCGTTATGTCTTGGAGTCCTAGTTAGATTATTTCCTTGCATTTATTATTGATTGATTTAATTGAAACTATAATGCCTTCTGAAGTTATGAACCATCTTGTTCTTTACCAAAATATTCGTAAAATGTCACCAGTTAGGGTCACTAAGTTAGAGCTACAATTTGAGTTTTTTACTAGCACTTTGTTTTGTTTGCTCACTGTGCATACAACTGGGTCATTACCTATAAAGAGTGTAGCTGATAAACATGGAGGAAGAGATAAAAACTACATTTTTTTGTTGTTATACGTACAAATTTAATTCCTATCTTAACATTTTGAGGGAAAGAAGTCTGAGATTTCTTAAGCATAAAATCTTTCTTGTTATGTGCTTTCCAAAATAGATATTGTTGCTTAGATTTTGATACAAAAACTATAAATTACAATGATAATGGAGGGGAATCCATTGGTCATTTTGATTTAACTTTTCACAAAGACATGCCCGCTAACTACGTTTGATTTCAAATAGTTTTACTTTTTGCTTGGCTTTAGTTGTTTATCATGGACAATTGTCCCATTGACTTTGGAGGGTATTACATGTGGTTAGTTCCTTAATAAGTCATACCTATGTAGTGACCAACATTATGTTTTCAGCTAAAATATTAACAGGGTCCTTCAACTTTGCCACTTTTTTTTTCTTAGTTCTATTACACCCAAATAAGCTTGTAATTTTTATCCAAATAAGCACCTAATCTTTAACATTTTCCCAAATAAATCTCTTAACCTTTAATTTATTCCTCAACAAACTCTTAAAATAAATAACATTTATCTGGAATTGGAGCTTATTTAAGTACACATCAGAGGATATGGGCTTATTTGAGTACAATAAAAGTGTAGGGGTATATTTAGCAAATAAAGAAGTGAAATAGTTGAAGGGTCTTTTGGTGTTTTAGCCTATGTTTTCTGAGTAGTTTTTGTCAACAATGGATTCATTGTGTTCTATGGTTATAGTTGGTATATGCTCCAAATAATCCAACAGATATTTGCTGTGAAAGGCTTGGTGTCTGATCTTGCTGGGTTGAGATGGTAGGAACTTATATAGTAAAAGCTTGAATACCAAAGTTGGAGCTAACATATATGTATAATGTTCTCTAATTTAATAAAGGTAGAAATCACAGAGGCATAGAAAGATGGGGTAGTTGAAGCAATATTTGCTTTTAGAAACATTTTTAAGTAGAAACTAAACAATTCATAGTACCATTTAATTTTCTTTTGGAATTTTGATATCTGAATGGGGTGTTCTTCCAACATAAGAATAAAGTTAATTTATCTTTTGATTTAGGTAATAAGGTTAAGGAAAACATATAAAAAAGTTGTGAGAGAAAAATGGCAGTGGTGAGGGTTTCAGGGTGAGGAATAAACTATGAACTTGTGGCACTAACATCTTATTCTGTGGAAGAAACTCCTGCCAAGTTCTGAAAGTTGTGTTACATGTTATTCCATTGTTAAGCCTTCTGAATACACTTATGGTATTAGTCGATGGGGCTTCAAACCATTTGTATTTTCCTTGGATTGCATTTTTATTATTGAGACATCTAGTTGAAATTTTGTGGACATCTGGATACTGAGAGTTGTTTGTAGCGTAATAACTTTTGATTCTTCACTTTTACAGCTCCATGTGCCTTTCCTTGCATTCATTCTGGCCAATGTCTGATGTCAAACTGAATGATTTCTAATGCTATTGTTAATCCCTTTTTACCTTCCAAAACAATAATTAATATGTAGTTAAAATGTTAGGTTGTGGTGGAAGTTCAATTTATACTGACTTGTACAAGGTGCATATCTTCATATCTTGCCTTCCAAAATAGGTTAAAAGTTTATTTAACAAGTTTTTTTTTAAAGAATGATTGCTGCTGACATTCCATATACCAATAAAACTGTATTTTGATACACAAATCGGAGCAAACTTCTTACTTATCTTTGCATGGTGCAGTAATATTTTAATTTATTCTCGTGATTCTGGTTTATTATTCTGCCTGCATTTACACGGTCAATTTGAATATACCCGAATCATAAATGTACAATAGCATTCTAACTTGGATTTGATTTTTGGCAGCTTAAAATGGAACAAAATACCCACATTTGTTTCATGTGACATGGGGATAAAACATCCACTTTCAGAGTTTGGGTATGAGAGTTGTGTGTAAACATGGAGATTGAGATTAATGTTTTGGTATCGAGTATTATATGTACATCTGAAAATTTAACAGCTTTGTTTGTCTATGACAAGCTACATTTAATCTTTCACATGTTTTTTGTATAGATTATTTGATCCCTACTTATTTTCTTCCCCTTTATATCAGCAAACTATTACTACTTGAAAAATAAAGCCGCTGATCCGAAGAATCGTTTGCAGGACATAATTGAACCACCAGCAGTGAAGTAAATCTAGAAAGGTAAATGTTCTAAAGTATGTTTCCATGGTTTCAGTTACATGAGGAATATGAGCTTTACTATCACTTCATCTCTTGAGCCTGCTTATTCTCAGTTTATAAGTAGTTAGTGCCAGGAAAGGATATGGTACCTTATCATAGCTTTTGTGGTGTTTGATTCGGTTTCGGTTTTTGTTGAACAGGAAGCTCACATATACTTTTTTTTTAAATTATTTTTTATTTAATTGTGGTGGTCGGTGAATACAATACGAAATATATAACACGGTCTAAAGGGCAAAGTAAACAATTGTTATTCTTGTAGGTGCTAATCTTTTCTTTGGTGCCGATTGAGTTTTAGGTCAGTTGATATCGTTATTCTGGTAGTAAATCCGGAACTGTGGGTTCGGAAAAAAGTTTAGAAGGATTATGAGTAATTTAGGTATAAAACCATTCATTTGGTATGTTAATAATTGTATTAGCGTCTAATTGTATCACATTTTCATGAAGATGAAAAAGGGGAAAGACGGAGTTTATCGATGTCCTGCCAATGCCCATGGTCCCAAAACCAAGTGGATCTTGATTCACATGTTGATACTTTTATGGCTTCAGTTGCGTTCCCCACTCCCATCAACTATATATATATATATTAAATAAAATTTTGAAATTGATAATTAGTAAAATGTAATTATCATAATTATTTCTTAAATTTGATAAAACTATTTTGACATTTTTAATTAAATTGATGTCGAATTAACTCTTGATACTAGTTCAATCAATCATTTTATATAGATTTAAGATTTGTTACACAGATAATGTATGTGTACTGTTAGTGGGTAAAACTATAACTCATTATTTATAATAAATTAAATAAATTTAATTTTAAAATTCTATGATATCATAAATAATACTATAAGAAGATTTTACATTTATTGATAATTAATTAACCAAAAAATACACAATTGACGCCCAGATTATCAGCTGCAATAAATCCAAGACGGCCAAATACCTTTAGTGGCGTTTGGTTCGCAGGAATCCCTTGGAATTAAGGGGAATTTGAATTAAATTTTACCACTTTCTCATGTTTGGTTCAAGTTTTTAAAGGGAATTAGAATCTCTCAAGGTTTCAACTTTCCATCAAATGAGGGAAAGTGAATTTCATCCATTCTATGATGGAATTCAATTTCTTTGTTGGAGGGAATTGAAATTTGACTATACTATCCTCATCAATTTTTTGGTAACTTATTCATATATTGAATAAAAATATTTTTTTTTATTTCGGGTCGGGTCGGATTTCTAATTCATATATTCGGGTCTAGTGAAACTTTATTTTGGTAGGGTCGGGTCGGTTTTTTTAAGTGTGATATTCGGGTCGAGTTCGGGTTTAAGGTGAAAAATACCCGACCCGACCCAAATATATATAATTTTACCTTATATATTTAAGAATAATTACAATAATATCTTTATATATATATATATATATATATATATATTTTCAATTAAGTCACTCTTTTTATTGAATAAAAATATTTTTTTTATTATTTCGGGTTGGGTTTCTAATTCATATATTTGGGTCGGATAAGGTGAAGCTTTATTTTGGTTGGGTCGGGTCGGGTTCGGGTTTAGGGTGAAAAATACCCGACCCGACCCAAAAATTATATAATTTTACCTTATATATTTAGGAATAATTACAATAATAACCCTCTATATATAATTTTTTTTTCAATTAAGTCACTGTTTTTATTGAATAAAAATAATTTTCTTATTATTTCAGGCCGAATTTCTAATTCATATATTCGGGTCGGGTCGGGTGAAATTTTATTTTGGTCGGGTCGGGTCTCAGATAGAGTTTCCCTTGTTCTCGGGTCGGGTCGGGTGGACCAAAAACTCGACCCAACCCGACCCATGGTCATCCCTAATTGGGATGATTTTAACTTATGATGTTTATTAGCATGATTTTTATAATTTATTAAAATGAATAATCAATCAATAAAATTTATTATTTTTAAAATTTTTATAATATATTACTACATGTAATTTATAAAACAAACTAAAATTAAGCCCAAAAAACTAAGAAGGGCAATCTTGTCATTTACATTACTGAAATCAAATTCATCTGACATGTCTGCGAACCAAACAAAATATTAAATTGGATTTCAATTCAATTTACTGTCAACCAAACAGAATATGGAATTGGATTCCAATTTCTGATAGATTCTAATTCCTTCACATATTTCAATTCTCTCAGAAACATTCCAGCGAATCAAACGTCACCTTAGAGGTTGTTTGGATCAAAAAATGTGGGATTCTCATGGGAATGGAATCTACATTCCCATGTTTGGTTGGCCAGGAATTTCATTCCCGGTAATGTTTTATTACTAATAGTAGATTTTTTTGGGTATATTACTAGAAATGTCATTACCTCCCTTTCCTTAGGTATTGTTGGATTACCGGCGTTTTGGACTAAAATATCTTTAATTTTTTTTCTTTCAAAAATAGCATTCTTCTGACATTGAATAATAAAAATTCTACGAATGTTAAATTATAAATTTATCCTTAAACTATTTTAGATTTACAAAAAAAAAATTCTATAATTAAAATTTTAAATAAAATTCAGGGATTAAAATAGAATTTTACCCTTTCATTAAACTTTTTTATATTTTTAATTTTGAAAAAAAATATAAATTTTTTTAATTTAAATTTTTTTAAAAAATATATATAAATATTTTTCAACTTGTTAAAAAAATAAATATATAATAAGGATAATTTGATCAAATATACATTTCAATAATCTTTTATTCATTTTATCAAACACGGTAAATCTTACATTATTGCTAAATTAACTAAACATAAAATACAATATTCTCATTAATCATATTCTCTGGTAATCTTATATTCCCACTGGTAATCTTATGTTCCGTGAACCAAACAAACTCTTAGTCTAACAAAACAAACCCCACTAAGAAAACAAGTGAAAGTTCTGCAGCAGTCTCTCGTCCCGCTCATGTCTAATTCAGATGATGTTGCTGCAAACGGAGCCATTACGGACCCTAAGGTATGACAAGCGCCGGTCAACGATTCCCTCACCGTCAAAAAGCCTCCGACCAAAGATCGTCACAGCAAAGTGAACGGCCGTGGGAGAAGGATCCGGATGCCAGTCATTTGTGCGGCTCGTGTTTTCCAGTTGACTCGTGAGTTGGGTCACAAATACGACGGTCAGACCATCGAGTGGCTGTTACGCCAAGCAGAACCATCCATTATAACCGCTACCGGTACCGGGACGATTCCCGCCAACTTCTCCACTGTGTCGGCCTCCGTCCGCGGTCGAGGTGATTCTACTTCTCTGCCGTCGACGACGACGTCTTTGGACCATAATTTTTTACTAGGTCCCGCCGGTTTTATACTTGGGAAACGGGTCAGGTTCGACGATTGTAACACCGGGAAGGACGATTCCGGGGTGATCACGATGGGACCAGATATGGGACATGCGGGTGGTTTCTGGGCTCTTCCAGCTAGGCCCGAGTATGGTCAACAAGTGTGGAGCTTCGCGCCTCCGCCAGAGGTTGCTGTTAATACTGCTAATGCAGCCGCTGCGGAATTTGCCCAGCCACCTAATGCTGCCGCGTTGTTCGTTCAACAACAGCAAGCAATGGGAGAAGCGTCGGCGGCGAGGGTTGGAAAGTATCTTCCCGGGCATCTGAATTTGTTAGCTTCCTTGTCGAGTACTCCAGGAAGCTCGGATCTGAAAGGCGAGTATCCGAATTGAATTCGGGTGGAGCACTTTAGCCTCTTCGTTTGGGAGTGTGTGTATATATATTATAGATCCTATGAATATTTGCTGCTTCAAGAGTGTGAATGTGCAAGTTGAGTTCTAGTTGGAGATTAGGGAATTAGGATTTTGAATGGGAGAATTTGGGTCTCCTTTAACATGGATGATGAAATGGATTCAAAGTAGGGTTTTTGCCTAGCATTCCCATGACTGCTTAGGATTTAGTAGGATTTTGAGGGTTCATGTCAGAGGAGACGTGAATCAAGAGCTATGGTCTTGGCGGTTTGAGGTTTTGCCCAGGATTGGGTTTCCTTTTTGTGATTTGTCATTTCTCTATCTCTCTAGGTTCAGGGTTCAGGACTTGTTGATTCGTCTATGCTTCCCATGTTGAAATAAGTTGTGTAAACTTGAATGTGAACTTTGAAGTATTCATGATCTAGCAATGTGAGTTGAATCTTAAAGCTTCGGATTGTGCATACATAATCGTGGTCCCAAACTTCGAGTTGCTAACAAGAATCATAGGTTTCTTTGCCGCTACTTTGATATAGCTTAGCATTTAAACCCCAGCAACGATGGAAGTTAGATATGAGTTGAATCATAAAAGTGCGGATTGTGCTTGATTAGGCAATATTGAGATTTGAAACTTTGTGTTGCTGATGGTGCTCAAGAATCATTTGTTTCTTTGCTGCTGTCTGTTGTAGCTTAGATTGGAATGTAGCAATAATCAGTGAGTTGAATCTTAAAACTTGCACATGATTGGGGCCTGAAACCTTTGAATTACTAATGGAGTTTGTTAATATACACAAACAAAAATAATGCAGACCTGAGAAAATAGAATCCAATATACAAAACAGGACCCCAATGCAGGATCGAACTGCAGACTGATGCTCTACCACAGAACTATATGGGCTTTGTTGCTCAAATTTCCTTACAAACACCATTGTTCTCTTAATAATTTTTCAAAGTTGTTTGTCCTTTGAGCTTGAAAGTTTTTGTAACCTGTTTGAAAATAATGGATATATTGATTTTTTATGCAAATTCTGAATCTAATATTTTTTTTGAGAAATTTTAAATTTAATATCTTATTTGGAGGAGAAGATGACTCTAGAGGAAGGAACAAGAGTATATTTAATGAGTCTAGAGTCTATGACCTAATAGAATATGAAGAAGAAAAAAATAAGAACTTGACCACCCGATTGAATGTGTTTACTTTTTTTTTTTTTTTGGATAAATGAATGTGTTTACTTTATATTTTGAAACTTTAAAAAACATATTATTTATTGGTAAAATTAGAGATTTAAATAATAACATTATAATTTTATATTTTATTCGGTGAAACCTTCAAAATAATGTACAATATTTTTAAATTGACTAAGAGATAAACGAGAAATTGATGTTAAAAGTAAATTATAATAAATGTTGTTGAATAAAATGTGTTTAATAAAGTTTCATTATGTATATATGATTTATTAATAAAATATTAAATTAATTATTCAATGTAATGAAATATATTTGCGTTCTATAGAGGCTTATTTTTTTAATCAAATTTTGCTTAGGACTCTGGAAATGTCTGAAGCGATTCTAATCGGTGAAACCATCAAAGAATGATAATTACAACGTCGACATGATACAAAAATGAAACTATAAAGCTTTTATCTTTAAAGAAAGAAGATAAAAATAAAAATAAATAACGTGAATGACACATAAATTTTTCATTAATAAAAAACAATTCACATCAACACATGTAATTATCATGCTAATTTTTCTTTTATGATTTAACAGTAGAATGATAACAATAAGAATAAATAAAAACTTTAATGAATAAATTAAAAATTAAATTTTAAAGATCAAACTACGAATGAGAAGAAAATTAAGAGGATGGGATTTATAGTTTACCTTAGTTTCCTTCTCCTTACTTCCAGCTGAGTGAGCTTTAAGCAGAATTTCTCAAAACCCTAGATCACATGCTAAAAAATCCCCAATTGAAAACCCAAATCCTAGTATTTTGCAATGATAAGAAGAAGACTCCCTTCGATAACCTCTATTTGTTCTCAGTTCCTAAAGACCAAACCCATCTCCAGTCCATCACAAAACCTCCATTTCCATTCCCTGCAATCCCCTAAATGTTCCGACCCCATTAACAGAAATGGATCATTTTGGTTTCAGGGTATTAGAGCTTATAGTCTTTTGAGCTTGAACGATCTGAGAGACAATGTTCCCAGAAAGAAGAAGACGAGGAAAGGGAGAGGTATTGGGTCCGGGAAAGGGAAGACCGCCGGTAGAGGACATAAAGGACAGAAGGCTAGAGGTAATGGCAAGTTGGGATTCGAAGGAGGCCAGACTCCGATGCGGCGTCGCTTGCCTAAACGCGGCTTTAAGAACCCTTTTAGCCTCACTTTTCAGGTACCATTTTTCTTGATTTTTGTTCTCCCCACAAATCCGAGCTTTTGTATGTTCATTTGATTCTTGTAAGTTATCTATTTTAGGGGGGCATGGAGATACTTACTGAATAGAAACGAAATTGCTAGGGAAATTAGAAAGTGTATAATTGCATTTTGAATATTTTTTTTTTGTGGCAAGTTGGAAATGAAGTAGAATGTAGTTCTTTTATCTTGCAAGTTTCGGGTTTTGATCTGTCATCACTGCTGGATATTGGAACAACGGTTTTGACTTTCCGATGATCGTCTAAGGAGCTTATGTTTATTTGGATGCTTGTTGCCAGATATACTGTGGATGATAATGCTATTCAAATAGTTTTTTGTGCATATTTTGGTATTGAGAATTAATTCATGTGTTGATGCTTATGACGACGGGACAATGTTTGTGCTAATTTTAATCACTTGTAGAGTTAGAATATTCTTTCGAAATTTTCCATTGTATTCGAAAGTTCTGCTTTGTTTTATTTGAGTTTTTTCTTCTCTTGCTAAATTACTTGTGTATTCCTTCTCTGACAGCCAGTAGGATTGGGAAAGATAGCCAAACTAATAAATGCTGGGAAGATTGATTCTCATGAATTGATCACCATGAAGACTCTCAAGGTAGAGTTAACCTATTCTGATATTCGAATTTAAGTCACCTTTTCAGTGCAATGCTCACACCGATTATTGCTTTTACCTAGGATGTCGAGGCCATCGGGAAACAGATAGAGGACGGAGTAAGGTTGATGGGTCGTGGTTCCGAACAGATCAAGTGGCCGATTCATCTGGAGGTACAAGATTTGTCTGAAATCGTTCTTCATGTTCTACTTATGACTTATTGTTTCTTCGATTTATGTCAGTTTATAATAATTAAAAGAACCTTGCATCATCTATTGCATTTATCGATTCTGGTTGTATGATGACCGAAACTTCAACTCGTGTTGTCTTTCATACATTCTAGTTTCAGATAGATTAGTCACACTTGTAGCCTTCTAGTTTTCTCGGTGCCAGTTAAAGTATGTTCTACGATGTTGAAGTGGGTGAACATTTTAGATTCCGCTTGATTCAGTCTTTATCGATAATATTTCTTTGTTGTGAACCGAATGAAGAAAATAATTGGTCTCACTGTTTAAATTTTCAGGTGTCGAGGGTGACTGTTAGAGCAAAGGAAGCAGTTGAAGCTGCAGGTGGATCTGTGAGGAGAGTGCATTATAACAAATTAGGGTTGAGAGCTCTCCTCAAACCCGAGTGGTTCAAAAAGAAGGGCAGGTTGCTGCCGAAACCAGCCAGGCCTCCTCCGAAGTTGAAGGATAAAGTTGACAGCATAGGACGCCTTCCGGCTCCAACGAAACCCATCCCGATTTTCGCCGAAGAGCAGCCGGTCTCCTCTCCGGCTTAGTAGACTGATGATCGGTTTGTTCGTTCAACCACCGAATTGTTACTCATAATGAGTTATTATGCAATCGGATTTTATTTTTCGACACTCGATAGTTCTCAGGCTTTCCATGTTTCGGAGGGAAATAATCAAATATATTCCAATCATTTTCCATGCAAGAAATAATTTATAACTACGCTCTTTGCACTTGGTTTGATCCACTTCAATCAGCCTTTCTAAGTTCACGTGTTTAAATAATTGGATTAATTTTCTAATTTTTGAGAAGTATGAGGGTAAAATTCTGACAATTCAAAGTAAGTAGTTTTTTTCCTATAGTTAAAAGGGTAAAGTACATTGGTAGTCGTTGTATTTTTTGGGTGTTTGCACTTTGGTCACTAAAATATAGAAGTATTGAAATCATTCTCGTTTGAAATCATTCTCGCTTAGAAAAAGGATTTGATCAAGAAATTATTAACGAAAAAAGGATAAAATTGAGAAAACAAAATTAAATTATGGTTTCAGTCAAACCATTGTATTTAACGGAAATGTCGAGATAATAATGAAGTAATTTGTATAATTAGTCCTTATTATTTACATGTATTATTAATTTGATCTTAAACTTAATTTCTTTTTGGTTACAAACGGGAAAGTGAGTAAATTAATGCAAAGTAAAATCTCGAGGAAAAGAAACTATGAACCTTTGAAGGTGGGGAGTCAAAGACCGCGATCTCCTCTTCCAGCATGCACTCCATTTTGAGAGGGCATCAGCACAAAAGTTGCCTTCACGGTATGTATGTTGGAAATTAAGGATCCAATTCCGAGCTTTGAGGTTGCGAATGTCCTCAATGATGGGTCCCAAAGGGTGAATGGAACAATCTCCATCTTCAATGAGTTGGAGAACCACCTTCGCGTCAACTTCACACACGACGACACTATAGCCGTATTTCCAAGCAAGTCAGAGTCCAATTCGTATGGCGTAGAGTTCAGTCGCTGTGCTCAAGCAAGCTCCCAAATGTACCGCAAACCCCATGATCCACTGTCCAGCTTCATTCCTTAGAATATCGCCTGCTCCAGCGATACCCAAGTTGCTTTGGCTAGCTCCATCCGTATTCAATTTCACAAAGTCGCTGATTGGAGGAGACCATACTACCAGCAGAGTTGTTTTCGAAGTCCCAACAGCAATACAATTAATCCGCAAAAGATCATTTGTGGACGTTTTAACGGAATGCCAGAATCACTCCTCGTCATAAGCGTAATCATCCGATTCAAAGAATTTTTTACATCTCTCTTTCCAAAAGTTCCAAATAATGCAGGAGAAACGGGTAACCCAAAGGAGGGTATTCTTTGAAGTATCTAGGTTCTCGGAAATCCAGGTCTGCAAACCCTGGGCAAAGAAAATGTCCCACCTTGAGTCTCCGACAAACCGATTCTAAGAATTTTGAGCTACAGACAGTTTCGCAGGATAAGATGCAGATTTTCCATAAGGTGACCACAAGTTGAGCAGCTAGAGGAGCTCGATAAGCCCCAAGAAGCTCTTCGGGCGTTGGTGAGTAATCTATCTCTCCAAGCAAACCAAACAAAATAATTCCACTTTGAAATGATTGGCAAACGCCAGATCCAAGAGAAATTAGTCGAAAAAATCCAAATCCTCGGTTGTGAGGGAGAGATAAGCTGAGCGAGTGGTGAATTTTCCATTAGAAGTATGTTGCCAAACATAAGTGTAGCGTGATATAAATGATTCGCAAGGATTGGTGTAATTGTATATTCTAACTTCTCACACTATAAAAAGGAATAAATTGGTAATAGTAGGAGTATGAATAAACAAATAAAATAAATAAGCAAGTAAATAAAAATAGACCGAGATTGAATAAAGAGCATCCCGAGTTATCGTGATTAGTAGTGTGACACTGTCTGGAAAGTCTGAGTAGTTGATTGTCGAGGCAACTCGATTGCCTTGTAAACTGAAAATAATTCAATTGTTGTTGCAACTGAGTTTTCTCATTCAAAGCTCTACAGAATGTTCTTCAATGCCTTATTGTTATTCCTAACTTCAAAGGACTGATCAATTATGCATGCCTTAGTGATACATCCCTTCGTTAATCATGGGTGGACAACAACCGATCTTGCACTCTTTTTAGCCGTTGAAATCTGAATCTTATCCCTAAGATGGATTAGCCTTCACCAATGTTCGTTCAAATGAAAATCATGCTCATTCGTTTCTTGAATTTAACTCTCCCGATAATAGATAAATGGATAAAACTCTCGAGATCCTCTCTCAATTCACTCGAAATCAATTAAAGAACCAAGAACGAATAAGCTTTGAATTAAAAAGACAATCAAGAACTTAAACAAATTCAAGAGTTTTCACAACCACAAAATCCATAGGATGAAACTGCTTAACGGAATCCAGAGGGGAGACTTTCGGAATCAAAGCTAATAAAGAGTGATTTAATTCAACCAGAAAAGTAGTCGTTTCCAAAGTTAAATCAACAATTGACGTAAGTGATACTCGGAAGGTACCCCACATTTCTTGAAATACGTTTGCGTAAAAGCCATCATCACCAGGAGCCTTCCAAGGTTTCATCATGAAAAGGGCTCTACAGACCTCATCTTCAGTAACATTCCCTACAAGCCTTTGGGTATCATCCGAATGTAACCTTAGACAGCCAATTTTTGACAGACTAGAAAGGATGTCGTTCTCAATAGTGTATAACCCGACAAAGTAGTCTTGAACCATCGAGAGAAGGCTTTGAAGATCCCTCACCCAATCGGCATTCGTATTTTTTAGCATTACAATTTTATTCCTCCTACGATGGGTGAGAGTCAAGAGATGAAAAAACCGGGTGTTCCGATCACCCTGTTGAAGTCATTGGACACGAGACTTTTGAAACCAGAACACTCCTTCTTGTTCCAAGAGACGCTTATATTCTCTCACCAAAGATTCTTCAAGAGTATCAAGTTGGTGTGAGCGACAGTGAGGGGGAATGTGTTGCAATCCATTAATACGAGCTCGAAGCTTCTTTTTACGGCCAAAGATGTTCCCAAAATGATCGCGATTCTAGTTGAGTAGGGCTTCAGATAGCTTTTTGGAGGCGTCCACAAAATCGGAATTAAGAGAATGCCAGAGGTTATCGACCATGTTGCGGAAGCCATCAGTAGAGAGCCACATCGCTTGAAAGCCAAAAGGCCGTTCATCTTTAGAAATCAAGTGAAGAGGATTCATCTAGGGGAGAGGACAATGGTTAAATTTATGTTAAATCATAAACTTATTAAGTTAAATCATATAATCAGATGATGACACAGATGATTAAATTTATGTTAAATCATAAACTTATTAAGTTAAATCATATAATCAGATGATGACACAGATGATTAAATTTATGTTAACATTTAACGGTAAGGAACGTGATTGAAACAATTTTAATAATTTTGTGATTTAACTGATAAAAATTTTAGTTCGGTAGTCAAAATAGAATCAATTCTATAGTTAGGTGACTATCCAAGAATATTCCCCAAAAAAGCAGGTTGGCCCCAACGTCGAACACCGTAAAGGTGTAAAGCCGCAAAAGCCCTACCCGACTGCTCTGCTTCATCTTCTTTCTAGTACGATGTAGTGCCAGTTCTAGTGGAGGAAGAATATAAATAGTCAGAGAAAAACAAAAGCAAACAAACCAATACCTTACTTTTTATCAGAAATGCTGGCTCTTAGCAGCTCTCGTATCTCTCATCAAATTTTGGGGTTAGGATTTTGCTCCACCGGAACCTTGCAGCTCTCATCTTCTTTCTTGGTTAAACTTCCCTCCTCCTCCTCCACCTCTTCCGCCGCCGTCGCTTTTGTCGATAATAATTTCCATATTCATCGATTCCATCCCCGATTTGTTTCTTCTTCCAGTCTCCAGTCCAAATCCGCCGGCGACATTCCTTTTCTCCCTGACTCTTTCAGGTTCTTTTCCCTGTTCTCCCCCAAATACTTTTTAGCAGTAAAATTTGTTATAATCTTCAGGTTCACTTATGTTACCTATTCAGCTGTTTGCTTTATTTTTTTTTAATTTTCAATCAATGCACTTAATTAGTTTTTTGAAATTGGATCAACTTATTTAGGAAAAACAATTCAAATACTGACATGAACTTTCTCAAATTTGGCAATATGAGGTCTGTCTAGTGATCTTCCTGCTTCTGGAGAAGTCTGTAAAGTATTGTCACAATGGTCGAACTCCCAACAATTGATATTGTCCCAGTAGTATAAAGATCAAGTTATTCAAGTATAAGCACGCCAAAACTGTAGTTTTAACGATAATATTGATACAGGGCTCTGTTTTTTTTTATTAAGTATCTAGTTCGGGAACTAAATGATTTTATTTTGTGTAAAGCCAACAAGAAGATGATCATGAGAAGCCTTCTGAAGTATTATCCGCAGTGGCAGGTTTCATTTTTGTGTTCTACTACTTCCCTTCTGTTTAACCTTTTTTTTAGTGTTTTTATGTTATTTGTTGGCATTAATACATCAGGAGGTATTGTTGCGTTGGGAAAGTTTGATGCCCTTCATATTGGTCATAGAGAACTTGCAATTCAAGCATCAAAGGTTGGAGCTCCATATCTTTTGTCATTCGTAGGAATGGCTGAAGTCCTTGGTTGGGAGCCTAGGTAAAGTTTATATATCTACATATGTTATAATGTTTGTGTAATGCTTTTAAGCTATTGGCTATTTCACTTGATTCTAATGATTCTGGGTGTGGTTTTCAACAGGCCTCCCATAGTTGCTCGATGTGATCGTCTGCGTGTTCTTTCCTCTTGGGCTCCATATTGTGGTAATGTGGCTCCCAAGGAATTCCAGATACAATTTACAAGTGTTAGGCATCTTAGTCCGAGGCAGTTTGTGGAGAAGTTAGCGGAGGAGCTTGGAGTTTGTGGAGTTGTGGCAGGTATGCTAAAAGCTGCGTGAACTCTTAGAATACTCTTCTTTGTATCAAAATTATCAAGTAAAAGCTTAATGCCTATAAGTTAAAATAGGTTGTTTCAATGGCTAATTGCCACAGGTGAAAACTATCGATTCGGCTATAAAGCTGCTGGGGATGCTTCAGAATTGGTGAGATTGTGTGATGAGTTTGGTATGGGTGCTTACATAATAAATTCCGTCATGGACAGGCACCAAGATTCCAGAAATATGAATTGTTATGATTTAAAAGAGAGAGGACAAGTTTCTTCTACCCGTGTTCGACATGCTCTAGCTGAAGGTGACATGAAATACGTGTCAGAGCTTCTAGGCCGCCCACATCGTTTGTTATTAATGATTGAAGACCAGGAAAACTTAACTAGTACTAGCAGTACACTAAGGATGTCAGCTCCAAAATCTTCTTTGCTAAATCTACCACCAAAAGATGGTTTTTACGAGAACTGTGCTCTTTTGGTTGGAGAACATAAACCAGTAACATGTAGAGTATCTATTGACACAACGCATATCCATCTAGAGATGGATCATGTAGATTTTTCTTATTATGATTATTCTCAAAATTGTCAGGTCTTGGGTATTGAATTTGGCGAATTGAGAGTTAACTGTGTTTAGTTTCTGTCATATTTTTAAGTTCACTTCGGGAAAGTACTTCATAGGTGTTTAAGAGCAGTAACCGTACCTATATTCCCCATATGAGAGGGCTGTATTTCTTTACCAATTAAATTATTGAATATAGGATTCATATCCCCTTCTTTACTGTTGGAAATGATTTATGTTTTCCTCTTCCAAGAATTGCTTTCGTTTGATTGTATCCATTAGTTAGTTGGCTCAGAAATATTTCTGAACGAGTTCAAGTTGGCTTGAAGGAGTTTCATCTATTGGTGAGTATGTGAATCTTAAAATTTATTCACTGGTTTCATTTCTAATGAATCTTCAGCACACTTTCAGTTGATTAAAGGTTTGTGTCCTGGTGAATGCTTCTCTAAAATAAACTCACATGTTACGAGCAATGAGGTTTGAAGGAAGGAAAAGTGTGCACTTGGATGCTCAATAATTTTTTCGATTTAAGCACGGAAAACCATATGTGCTGTAGTTTTCTTCTGTTTTTAGAATTAATCTTGTTTTCATTTGTTGTAACTTCTGAAAGTTAGGGCTTTAGATTCATGTACTTCTTTTGGAAATTTAGGGTTTAGATCCATGCTTATCTAAAGGCATGATGCATATTGCAGCATCTTTTGGTTGGGCGTTTTACAATAAGGTCAGTGATACATCATTAATGTTCAGCCCGGACATGAAGAGAAACACTTGTTTTACAGCAAAGAAATGCACCATGAGAAAGTTTCTGCAATCCTTGATGTTCAACAGTTAAAACAGGCAAAACCACATATTTAAAATCCAATCAAAAGAAGAAAATGAAAAAGTCCCAAAGCCGAAAAGCGAAATAGATTGATAATACTGACGAGAACATAAACATGGGGAAAGGAATTAATGAACAATGTATGATGAAGTGAATGCATGGTCGCCAATACTCTCCACGCTTATGCCATTCATCTCAACAGAAGTTATGAAGAACTTGGCATTTCGTCGAGTATCGAATTGAACCTGGAAAAAATCTGGAAGGTTGGGTGTTGAACCTGGAAGCCAAATCAATAATCTTGAACTTGGCAATTCGTCGAACAATTAGTTGGCATCACTGAAGCGTTTATGGATTGATGAAGAAGATGAAAGTATACAACTATTTTTTAAAACATATATTAGTTTTATTAAAAATATAATAAGTTTTTTTAAGTAAGCTTGGTGGTTGAACGTTAGGCAATAGTGCATGAAGAACTTTGGTTTGAATTCCATGGGAATCAATTTTTCATCAAATGAATCTAATAAAACAACGTCGTTTTGGGTTTGTTTAGCATTAAAACAATTGCGTTAAAATGATGTCATTTTAGTGAGGGAGCCATATCATCACCGTCGCGACACATAGATGCCATGTCATCATGCCATTAATGGACTAACGATGGAGTGACATAATTGCAATTAAATATAAACGTCAGTGGCATAAATGAATCCAAACTTAAAAGTGAGTGGTATTTGAAGTATTTTACTTTTTTGTTTAATTTGAAATGATGAGAAGCGTTAGCATGCCTCAAAACTAATTTCACTATATAATTATTGAAAAAAGATTAAAACATTGGAAAGTTAATTTTTGAATTAATTTTTATTGATTTTAAGTGAATTTTATGAAAAATAATTCAAAAAATATATAAATATTTTGATATTAATCTTAATATGAATAATAATTAATGACAATTAGTCGATGACGACAACCGAAATTAACAGTATCTCTTGAAAAGAAATAATGACGATATCATCACCCCCTTAGTAATTTTTTCAATTATTTTCAATACCAAAACAAGACCATCTAAAATTCAAGGATCAAAGGTGTGGTTTATCCAAGTTCAAATTATACTAATTTATTATTCGGATTGCATTGCATTTGTTTTAATTACCTGCTTTTTACAATTTGTATCCTTTTCCTTGATAAAGGTAATATCAATCTCAACTTACCTTTTATCAATTGCATATTTATTTTTTACTTAAATTTCACCTTCCAATTTTAAAAAGAAAATCGTTTTTGTACCATGTTAAAATTTTAATGACATTAACACTGGCAGCTGTGTCTGCAAACAAGTGTGATCCATTTTGACACCTTCGTCTACGACGAGCATGTTTTCAAGTTTGTCGATGTACAAGACCAGTTATCGAAGGGCGATCCTCTGACACAACGTACAAGAATGTACGTCCAGTTATCGGACAATCCTCTGATTAAACGAGAGACATTTAGAACTCTATTTGAGAAGAGTCGGAGACACGATACGAATACGATGACAACCGAATAGGCCATTTTCGACATGCTAGAAAAAAAAAGCATATTCGAATACAATTCCGGTGATAATGCATCGGCCGAGTCTAATGCTGATAAAAGAAAGGATGCAAAAATGGTGTCCTAACCATAAATCTGCCATATTTAGCATTAGACTGTCTCCATAGTTTCCCTATAAAAATACATTTAGATTCTCTCCCTGTGGCCTTATTAGGATTAAACAAATGACAGACATAAGTTGTGCTTGCAGTTAAGCAAATCTTATTACCTGTGAGCAGATGCATGCGGCATCGGGTAAGTCACTGGAGCACCCGGAACGACTGTTCCGGGTAAAGTCGCTCTGACTCCATAAGCCATATGTGCCGGGGCAGGAAGGTTCACGGGTGTGCCAACTGCTGAGACTAGGGGACCCCCTATCGGTTGCCCCATAGTTGGAACACCATGCACACTGAGACCAGGTGGCGCAGCCTGATGTACTGGAAGCTGTTTGGTTGGTTTTCCTACGGGTGCGGGGCCGTTTGATTGACCGATGATCGGACCTTGGGGTGCTGAAACGTCTGCATTGCCAACACTGGTAATATCATGGATGCTAGATCGCCTCCGATCTTTGCTCATCGAGTTCAATCTGATGAAGTATTTTTGCGCATGACTTGCAACTTGTGCCGGTGTTCTAGTGACCACCAAGTTCCGGGATATGCTTCGCCAGTCGCCTTTCCCGTATTTATCCAAACCGAGAAGAAATAACCTGATTTTCAAGATTAAAAAAAAAACACCATTAAAACCATAATATAGAAGATTATTCTCATCATCCACTACAAGGAGCACTTAAACCAACCTATGTACATTTTCACATCCGTCAGAAAAGCTACCTATTACCAAATCGAAGCATATTAAAAGCATTGTAACTTACCACTTCCTATACGATTTTTTCGAATAATTTCTCAGCCTCTATCTGATGAAACTTCAAGGGGATTTCCTAATTTCGCTTTAACTTAAGGTCCAAGGCATCACACAAACAACTCCTAATGAAGATCGCATAAGGGTGGGGCTCCGGAGAGTCGTTTTAACAATCTCACAAAACCAGAGTCCATGTGCGTTTCGCTAGCATGAGAGCCCTTATAATTCAAAATCTTCGACCTCATCATGGGCTTGTGAAGACATCATCATACCATCACTCGGGTTTTAGCATTGTGACGAACACCATTCTTAGTATATTTACAGAAACCGAGACTGGACATGCACAACTAAAGAAATGCACTCGAATTCTATGTTTGCCCTCTTTTCCCCATTATCCTTTACAACTGAACTTTGGGGAAATTAAGGGACAAAAAGGAGCAGATCAATCTCTAATATCCCTAGAAAATTATAATTAATACGATACAAAATCGGCAAGCTTTTAAGTGGCCGAACAAACTAAATTCATATCCTCGAACATAACCCTTCTTGAGCTATTAATTTCCTTCCATATCAGAATCAATTTCAGCTAGCACTACATATGTCAGCAGAAAGCAATCGAATCCTCAAATGCCAACTTTAGCTCTAAAAGGAAGGCTGTTCCGAAAGATTAGCATGTGTCAGACAGGGTTAAACGGTTAAACAGCGGATAAAGGGCGCAAGTTTCATTCAAGAAACGTTAAAAGACACGAGTTTTCACACACATCGACGACTTCAAAGCCACATAGAGCTTCCTAACAACTAATAGAAATCAAGGATTCTAAATACGAACAGGTTATGCGATTCCAAGGCAATCAAAACATACGAAAAACGGCCATTCGTGTCATACAAGTAACGTTTAAAGATAGTAATTATTATCTTTCAGGGACAAGTGTCCTGGAAAAGAGAGAATGAAAAATCCACCGGAAAGATTTCTCTCCAACTTGGGAACGTTAAATTTCATGTTCTCTTCGGTTACTTCACACATATCAAAAACTTCAAAACCACTTACAGCGTCCTACAACTAATAAAATCAAGGATTCCAAAAGCAAACAGGTTACGCGATTCCGAGACAATCAAAACTAACAGCTAAACGGCACACGTGTCGTACAAGTAACATTTAAAGATAGTAGGACAATAATTTTCTGGAAAACAGAGAATGAACAACCACCAAAAAGATATCTCTCCCAGGTGGTAACATCGGAATTACATGATCTCTTCGGTTATTTCCATCATTTCTGGATATATTATTCATTTATTGGCCTTTCACACACATCGACGACTTCAAAGCCATGTAAAGCTTCCTAACAACTGACAAAAATCAACGATTCTAAATACGAACAGTTTACGAGATCCCAAGGCAATCAAAACATAAAACTAAGGGCACACGTATCGCACAAATGACGTTTAAAGAAGTGATTATCATCTATTAGGGCACGAGTTTCTGGAAAAGAGGAAATGAAGAACCAACAGCAAGATCTCTCCCCCATGGGTAACATCAAAATTCCATGCTCACTTCGGTTGCTTCGCATCATTTCTGGATATATCATTCATTGATTGGCCTTTCACACAGTAATGACTTCAAAGCAACATAGAGCTTCCTAACAACTAATAAAAAGCAATGATTCTAAATATGAACAAATTAGGCGATTCGAGGCAATCAAAACACACTAAATGCACCGAATTGGCATATATGAAGCATAAGAAAAGTAATTATTAAAATTCTGAGGAAAAATAAAACTTAATCAAGATGAGAAAATGAAAATCGATTTGAAGAGTGATTCACCTGTGTTCATCCTCTGTCCAAGCAATCCCCTTGCGGCGTTCTTGATCGGACTTTGAATTCTTACTCCCATGATTTGACTCACTGTTATGCCGTACATGGCCGGTTCCCTTCTTACCGGCTCCTTCATCACCAGCATGGCCTGCAGAACTCTCGGTAGATTTATACGGCGGAAGAGGCACACAGCCTGATTCGATCGCATTAATGTCATCCTCTAGAAGTTTATAGTGTTCTTTAATCTCTTTCAAAGTTTTTCCAGGTACATCGGCTGCAATTTTTTCCCACCGATCTGAAAAGTCCTCGGGATAAGTTGCAAGGGCAGTCTCAAATGCCTTGTCTTGCTCCCTAGTCCACTCGGAGCTGCTACCGGCTTCATCCACACTCATCTAAGCTCTTCAAATGCCGTTATCCCGAAATCACCTGCAGGAAGCAAGCACTGAATTCACTAGATGTCCAAATTACAATAGCCTGGAATCCATCTACAAAACCACAGATTTTCAAAAACAGTAGAGAATCAAAAACAGAGAACGAAAAAATTACCCAGAAAAGCCAAAGGAAACCTTAATCCGAGATCGAATTCCAACGAAAACTCAGAAAATCACAGAAGAGCATGTGAAGAATTCAACAATTTTTTTGGCTCAGGGGACTGAAAAATTGGACTTTTTTTTCCTGAATTCCTGACTTATTGATGAATGAAAGGGCAACAAAGTATTAGATAAAAAAAATATCTCTAAACCATTAACTAGTGCTATGTGAATTCAACAACATTATTAGGGTTTTCGATAACGAAATTATGAAAGTGACAATGCAAAAAACAAACTAAAAGTAAAAACCCAGAAATTCTACACAAATAGACTGAGAATTCAAGTTTCCAAACAAAAATTTTCTGTAAATCAAATGTTTACTTGATAACAACAGTTATAACAGCACAGGCCCAAATAACTGCAGGAAACAACAACAGATTTTTACAGCAAATTCTTCAGTTCAACGAATCAATCAAAATAAAAATTACCATAAATTATATAGTAATTGGCTGAAAACAGCTCAGTGACTCTAAAAAAATCTCTTCAATTCGGCACCAGAAATGAAAATCAAACAGAAAATGTTTTTTTTATATATATTCATTTACTGACACAACCAAATGAAACCCATAAATTTCAAGATTTTCAACTCTTAACAAAATCAGAACAGGGAAAACTCACATCAACTTATATCTTGTCTCACTATTTAAATCTAAGAATTTGTTCACAAAACAGTAGAAAACGCCATAAAAAGGGAAAGACCACCTGCATATCATGGTAACGGCACCATCGTGATACTGACACTTTAACCGCTAAAATTTACATTCCAGCGGTAAACTTTTTAACCAACCAAAACACAAGAATCTTACCTTTCAGAAATCAGAAAAGAAATTATGGAAGAAAACAAAAACAAGTTTAAAAGTAGGGAAAGCTCGAGAAAAAAGACACGGTTTTTGAAAATTTTACAAAGGGTAGACAGAGAAATTATGTAGAAAGTTGCAGGCAATGGATGATTGGTCCATCACTTCTAAAAGACTACCGGCAAAGAATCTGCAATTCCCATTAAATATCTGACAGAGAAATTTGGTTTTTCTTCTTCTTCTTCCCCTTCCTCTTAAGAGACCAAACAAACAAAAATAAATTTAGATGTCAGCGATAAAATATAAACAATTTGCAGAGCATCTGTGATGATTTTGATTATAAGCCATTACTTAGTTGTTGTTCTTGCATGTAGACAAAAGATTTGTATTTGTTAAAAAGTAAAACTTTTCTGAATTAAAGAGAAATTAGGAAATTACAGCAAAGTTTGAAACTTTAATTTGAGTTGTCAAGGTGTGAAAAAACGGGGGAATATAACAGCATAGTCAAAACGCAATGAATATGCAGTTGAGTTATTTGGACTGTTTTATTAGTTACTTTTTAAACCACTTTTGTTATAGTTAAAAAAATGTAAAATTGCATTGACATATTAAATACGTAATTCTCACATTTTTATTAAATATTTTTGCTATTGAGTTTAGTTTGTTTAATGTTGTTATCCATACATTATTAAAAATAGATATGTGTATTATTTTATAATCATCTTAGTTTAATAAAAAAATAGACACGTGTAAGATTTTAGGTATTTGTTTTAATAAAAATATGTATTTGGTCCAACTTGAAGCACATATAAAAAATATTCGATAAAATAAGAATTTAATTGAAAAAATAAAAAAGAGGATTTTATTGTAATTATCCTTATATATAAGAGATAATTATTGGGTTAGGTCAGATCAAAAGATTTTTATTCTAAATTCGAATTCGATCTTACTAGAACCAAAATTTTAAATAATAAAAAAACCAACCTTATAAGACCGGGTCGGATTAAAACCCATCAAGTCCGGATCTCATGACCATCTCAATACTTTACATGAGATTTGTTTGAGATCAACCATGCTTAAGACTTAATATTCTTAAGTTAGAACTCCTAATATTTTATAAATTTTTTATTTAATATAAAATCTTACGTTATTCTAAAAATTATCCATCATTTTAGGTACATTTATTTTTTATTAAGGCTTGATAAAAACCCTAATTCCTAAATTGAAAAGTAGGGTCATGTAGGTTAATTTCGAATATTTAGTTATGATTTTGTTGTCAAATATGCTATAAAAAATTTGGAGCCGTTGTAAGTTAATTTTTCTTCTTCAAGATTTGATATTATTTTAGGCGTCAAATACTTGAAAGAAAATAAAGATATTATTAACTTATTAGTGTGAGTTAATTCTTTATTCCCTTAAACTTATTGAAGAAAAAATAATGAACGTGTTAAGAAAAATTATTTATCGAATAAATCATTATAGGTCATTTTACAGAAATTAATGCATTTTTTATTAACTTACAATTGGTTTTATATTCACTAATCTATTTTACTTAAATTAAATAATAAACATATTTTATATGAAACAAATGCAATTTAAACTAAAAGCTAAAAAAAATAAAAGATACTAACTTTCAAATAAAATTTTGTGAATTAAGTGATTTCAATAATTAAAATAAATTTATTTTTAAAGATTTTGAATTCAAACACGACGTCTATAAGAATATTTGATTTTTATTGTCGAATAATTGAGAATTTTTCAAACTATATTCTAATTATTCTAGGGTAAACTATGCATTTAATACATAAACTATCAATTTTGGTTTGTTTAAGTACCTAAACTTTTAATTTTTTCAAAATCATACCTAACATTTAGTTTTAATTTTCATTTTAGTACCTACCATTAAAATCTTAATGCGTTTAGTACCTAAACTATTAGTTGTGGCATGTTTTAGTACCTAAACTTTTTTGTTTCTAAATTTGTCATTAAATTTTGAACAACGGTACTAAAATGAAACAAAAACTAAAATTTTGGTATGATTTTGAAAATATTAAAAGTTTAAATACTAAAACAGACCAAAACTTATAGTTTCGGTATTAAATATGTAATTGATCAATTATTCTATACTAATAAAAAGAAGGGTAAATTATACCAATCACCATTGAACTTTACTCAATCACCAATTTCACTCAGTGTACTTTAAATTTATTTAATTTATTCATTAAACCTAATATACTTATTTTTTTTGTCACTCTGTCATTTTCTTACTAATTACACTTTAAATTGATTGTTATATAAACGGAAAACGATATCATTTTAATAAAAATTTAATTTTTTAAAATAATATTATTTTAACTTTATTAACTATTTAATAATGGATGTGATTTATTGAAAAGAATGAAAGATCTCATAATGATACAAGACAAGGAGTCAATGATTTACTGCGACGTGGAGAAAAGTGAGAGTTCACGAGTCTTGCGAAGTTACATAGCACATGGTGTGTGCCCCATGGCTTTAATAATTGCAATTTATTGTGCCTCCGCTTTCTTCACTCTTAATTTGAGCATTTCTTCGCTTTGTAATGCATTTTATTTTGCAACTTTTTTTATTAGTGCATTTCTTCTTCGCTATCTTATTAATGCAGCTTATAATTTGAGCATTTCTTCTCCGTAATGCATTATAAGATAGTATATAAAAAAAAAATTAATTTATTTGATGTTAAATACGAATACTAAAACACTTCTAATACAATATACTCAAATTCGAGACTTTTAAATATAATAATAATTCATCTAACCACTAGAGTAGTCATAAAACACTCTAATGTATTAAATTTTAACTTTGCATTCAATTAGAACAATGAACTATAAAATTACTAAGGGTTAACTATATGATTGATTACTCATATTTGTGTTTTGTCTACATTTTCTCACTGATTACAAAAAAATATAATATATGACTACTTTCATTTTTATTTAATTAAGATATGATCACTTTCGTTTTTATTTAATTAAGATGTAGTCACCACGGGTTAGCTACTGTTACAATTAACAAATTAGGTGACATGGTATTTGGTATAAATACATATTTGATTCATATTATTTACATATTCTCTCAATTTAGTCATATTTTTAATAAATTAAAACAAATTTAATATTCCAATCACCACAAGTTAGTTGATGTTACAGTTAACAAATTTAATCGAATGATGTTTACTGGTACGTGTCGTATATTCGATTAGAATACTAACTTTATTTTAATTGTACATATTATATGAAGTTAAAATTAAATATTTTAAAGTTTATTAATCGAATGGTGAGAACTAAATTAATAGAATATGTAAATAACAAGGATCAAATGTGTGATTATACCAAATATTTAATGATAGTTAACTTGTGACGATCACATCTTAATTAAATAAAAATAAAAGTTATCATATATTATATTTTTTAAAAATTATTGAAGAAAAATAAACAAAATACAAACATGAAACGTCACTTATCGGAATTAACCCTATTATTAATGATATAAGGAGGTAGACATTTCAAACGCCGAGATACATGCATGAAAATGTGGGAGTTTTAGCCATGGATTTGACTTGGTATTTTAAAAGAAGAGTGAGCGGTGACCTCCACCGTAGCTGCCGCCGGCCAACCTTGTTCGGCTCTTTTTGACGGTGTCTTCATTTGGGGCTTTCATTGTTGTCCCTAGAAATGCTTAGTTAAGACTTTTTCTTTGACAGCTTATGCATACCGTTAACGTTGAAGGATTGGCGTTTTGAAATTTAAACTGAAGTTAATCATTTCTACTAATTTTAAAAGATCAAAGATCTAGATGGTAATTACATTTACCATTATTAATTAGGACTTTTCTATTTTCATCTCATATAATAGACTAAGAGTAAAAGTTAGATGGTCTATCATTTATTCTTGATTTAATCAATTGCTTTTAATAATATGGATTGGGGTTTAGAAGATAATAAATGTTCAGATCATTTTTAATCAATTGATTCGATCAATTAAAACGCAGTTGCAATAACATTTTACATGCGATGAGTAGATTTTTTTATTAATCTACGGTAATTACAAATGATAGTATCTATTCTAAAGACTCTCAACTATTTGACAATAAACACTTAAATAAATCTAGACCTCTAACAATGATAATCATTTCTTTAATTAGTGAGGTAACTTAGTTCGTATAGTTTAAATATTAAATTTTAAATATAAATCTAAAGAAAGCTCACATATAATTTATACAAAATAATAGTCCAACTTAAACACTCAAGATCCCAAAATTACAAACCTATTAACTTTGTCAATAGATTCGGACTGGGTCGATCGAGTTTTTCTTACGTTTAACTGGATCGATCCGAATTAGTTAAGTCAAAACCATAGAACTGGGAGGGTAAAAAAAACAATATAGTTATTGTATTAAATTAAAATTCACTTTAATTTTATGTTATTATACCGAATAAATTGATCTTTTATTCTATTATTTTTTTTATTTTAAGAAATAAAAAACGTGTAAAATTGAAAATTATGTTATATCGGGCGGATCAAATCCGGATCGATCTTTTAATTAAATTTTTAGGTTGAATTAAAGACATATAAAGTTATTTTCAATCATAGATCGAATCAAAATCAAAATTTATTATTTTGATAAGTTTGAATCAACTAAAAATCAACCCTTACCATCCCTAAACAATACCTCGTTAGCAATATCAAGCTGGATAAGAGGAGAGCAGATTGGTTGGAATGCAAGGAGAATTCTTCCATGCTGCAGCATGCAATTTGAGCACCTCTCTAGCTTTCTCTTTAGTCTTGTGCCCACATTCCACTTGAAGCACCAAGCACAATTTAGCCACGATCCCCAACTGCATCATCTCTTGAACCACATCACATGTGCCACAGAACTTGGAAATGGACCACAGGATCCTCACTGCCTTCTGGTTGGCAAACTGAGATACCCGAAGTATCTTCTTCGAAACGACGGCGAGCCCCGCCCCATGACTTAGCAGCTCCAACCGGCCTTCCGCGCATTGGCAAACTTTATCTAGCGCCGTCAGGATTATTTCACAAGATCTTCTATGTGAGGAATCGAGAAGCATGTCGATCAAGACTGGGACGTTGCCGGCTTCCGTGGCCTTGGTTCTGTTTCTTCCCCATGGAAAAATAGTTACCAGCAACTTTAATGTAGCATTTGAGGCCTGTTCGGAAATTTTGTCGTGTAAAACTCGAACCAGCTCAACGAATAGTTCCGGTCTCAAGCCGACGACTTGCATCGGATCGGCTATTTCGAGCATCGATTTCAACACGAACACCGCGTAAGCCCGACACTCGTAGCTTCCACGCCGCATTACTCTCGTTAATGACGCTACGAAATCACCATTCCTTCCCATAAGATTCTTGAGAGCAGCTTCTGAGAGTTGGAGATTGTAGAGAGTGTTCAAAGCCTCGTCAGCCGCTGTCAAGTCGTATTCGCTCACGATCGAAGCCAAGAACTCGACGGCACCGGAAGACTCGATGCATCTCTTGTTCGTACCATTCTCGGAAGCGATCGATCGAAGCCGCCGGAGGCACTTCATCCGTTGCAACGGCGACTTGGCATCGTCGAGGAGCTTTGTAATCTGCGCTTTTCCGATTGGTGGCTTCGGCGTCAGGATTCGTTCAATGCCATGGCAAGCATTTAAAGTGCACCAAGATTGAATCAATCTTCTCAGGGTATGATTGGGGACAAGTTCGCAATCGGAAATAGCTTGTTTCGTAACCGGACACGCAGTGTTCTTGCCGGAAAACAGCCATTTCTCGATGCTTTCCCTGTCGTATGTAATCCCTGTTGAAACCGTGACGGGATCCCTCATGATCACCAGAGAGATTGGGCAGATGAAAAATGGAGGAACATCGATTTCATCCATTTTGAAAACAACCCAAAGGAAGGAAAAAAAGGTTAAGTTTGTTTAAGAAAGGGCTGAGAATAGGATTGATGAACTTTGAAGAGGAATAAGAGGAAGATGAATTTACATAAGCGTTGCATGAGAAAGTCAAAACAAGGAAGAAGCTGACTTTTTCCATGCAATTGAAAGACTCAAGTTTGACCTCTATATAGTATGCAATATGCATAACTACTACATCTAAAGGCTAAACAATATATGCATAACTACCGTGGTTCAGTTCTTTATTTCGAAAATTTGGGTATAATTCAGATTAAGTCACATCGTGTGAGGTTTAATAAAAAAATTGAGTGAGTTTTAAAATCAGTTGGGATTCTCTTAAACTCGGGTCGAGTCGGGTGTAGACAAGGATGGGTATGGGTTGGATTTTTGGTTCACCCGACCCGACTCGAGAATAATGACTCCTCCATCCCGACCGAAATAATAAAAAATATTTTTATTCAATAAAAACAATGATTTAATTGAAAAAATAATATATAGAGGGATATTATTATAATTATTCCTAAATATATAAGATAAAATTATCTTTTTCAGGTCGGATATTTTTCACCCTAAACTCAAATTCAACCCGACCCGAACAACACCTTTAAAAAAACCTGAACCCATTTTTTTTTAAAAAAACTGATTCGGTCGAGTCGGGTTTAGGTCTCATGCTCATATGTAGGTGTAGATAGAGGGGTTTAATTTCTAGTCAGATTTGGGTGGACCAAGCCCTTGTCCATCTTTAAAAAGGGTAAAATATACCATTTTCATTGAACTTTATTATCTCTCCTATTTCACTCACTGTACTTTCAGTTTTTTTAATTTACTCATTAAACTTTCGAATTATTCATGTTTTGACCACTCTGAATTATTTTATTATTATTTCAGTATGACATGTCATTTTTATTTTATTATTTTATATTAAATAATAAAAAAATATCATGTCATACCAAAATAATAATAAAATAATTCAGATGATCAAAATATGAACAATTCAAAAGTATAGTGAGTGAATTGAAAAAAATAAAAGTACAATGAATAAAGTAGGAGAGAGATTAAACTTCAATGAGGAATGATTTAATTTACCCATCTAAAAATAAGAGATATTTTTGCCCTTCTCAAAATTTTTATTAGTATTTTAAGTCCCTATTAATTTAAACTTAATTAAATTATAATTTTACTCCTCTAAATTTTTAGATTAAATACTTAATAAATACCTAAATGTTTCAAAACTTAGATAATTTATTCCCTCCAATATTTGATCTTATCTTCTATGATGAAAATACAATTGAAATTATACTTCAATATATTTTTACGCAAAAACTAGTCAACGTTACTAAACATCTAGATATATAAAACTTAAAATTTAGGGATATTTCTAGTTAATATATTACATACTCAATTATAATCACTGATTTTATTAAATCATATCACTAGTGTCATACTTATAATTAAAAGATCATTAGAGAATTAATTGTTTTCGAAAATAGAACTGTTATGAATTACAACTACAAATGTGATTTATATGTAATATACATGAATCAAACGATCTCATTTATTACTATATATGTTATTATCTTTTGAGATCCTAAGAATTGTCATTAGTTAATTGTACGGATTCAATTGAAATGCTTTTTAATAAATAAAATTTTATTTCTAGTGCATTTATATAATTTATAAATATTTTTTAAACGAAATCCATTCTATGATAATTAATTATTTCAAATAATAAAAACTAAATTGTTTGTCAGAGAGTATCTGAATCAACCAAGCTTGTGCTTTTTGCTTGGAAAAGAGAAACGCCGTCAATGGGTGACAAATTCAAAAGGGGGGGGGGGATGACAATTAGGCTGCGTAATCAACTGGGAAGGAATAATTCAATAAAAATGACGATTATTATTGTGAATTAATCTTATAATTAATGTAACTAATTATAGTAGGTAAGGAAAAGTTAATAACGTGATTAATTCTGTCTGCTACACTATCCAATGTGATGAGCTAGAAATGGTACGATCCAAGTGGTTAAGGTACCCGTTATTTCTTGAGGTCTTATATCAAACATTACATAATCTAGTTGTAAGGGTGAGCATTCAATTGAGTCGAGTAAAAAAAATTGAGTTATTCGAGTTGACGAGTCGTATTTTATGACTCGAACTTAACTTGATATTTTTTGAATCAAGTCGAGTTATTCAAGTTTTTACACAAATTTTATTATAATTTATGGTAACAATTTGATTCCAATTTTTCAATTTTCTTTAATCATAGAATATATATATATATTTCTTCATATTGTTTTCATATTATAATGTTATTGAATATATCAAATACAATCAAATTTATGAAATATATTTACAACATTATATTTGTAAAAAAGTAATATGAGGATAAAGTATTGATGAGAGTATAAAAAGTAAAATAAATTTTAGAAGAAAGAATTTACAAACAATTGTAGTCAAATGAATAAATTGAGTAAAATGAAAATATAAGAAATTAAAAAAAAAAGAGAATACAATTTAGTAAAAAATAGAAACATAGATATTCTATAGTGGTATAGAAGTATTAGGTTCAAATTTGATAAAAACTTGACTTAAAATAAATGATAGATTGAAGAAATATGGAAATCATGAAAAATTGAGGAACTAAATTAAAAATAAAAAACTTATTATCAAAAAGAGGAATTGAAGTATATAGGTATTATACGATGGTCTAAGAGCATATGATTTAATTTTATAAATAAAATAGACTTTAAAATGAATGAGAAAGTGAATGAATAAAGAAATTAGGGACTAAACGTAAAACTGTCAAAATATTCAACTAAATTTTTAGTTTTTAGAGTAACTTAAAATTTTTAAATTTACTCGACTTGAACTCAAAATTCGAATTAATAATTCGAGTTGACTCGAATAACTCAAAATAAGAAAATGATTTTTTAAGTCGAGTTGAGTTTTACTCAACCGGGTATAAACCTTTATTGTTTTTATAAGTCTTCATGATACATTATGCAGCAATCCTTGGTAATGGCATCCGAATCAATAAAACCAGAACGGTTTAATCCCAAATCAAAGCTGCTAAGTCAGTTGGCTTACATGACTAAAAGCAGCCGATTCTGGCGACGATATCCGATAAACATTTCCGGCCCTTCACAGAATATGATAATGCTTTCACAGTAGATTCCTCAAATATACAAGAACCAGAGAAATCACATCAATCATTGAAGACAGTTCTAAGTCATAGGAAATATTATATAGAGAAACTACCTGACAAAAGAACATTCGATATACCACTTTCTTCGATGGTGATCCGAGTTACAGTAACAGGACGAGTCTTACTGATTCTATGTGCTCGATCAATGGCCAGGTCTTCAGTGCTCGGAACTACCATTAAGATCACCTGCAAGACAGCTCCTAAGAGTAGCTTAAGTAGTTCTTTTCATTCAGGGGCAGGGCAAGCATTTCATCACCGGTCGGATGTTTCGACACACACAGGTAGAAGAAAACATGACAGCAAATGGTAGCAACAGGGTCATCAGGGTATCCCATAGTGAATATTATACAGATTCCTGTAAAATGAACTTTTTTCAGTTCACTGGAGATACTATGAG